GTATAGTCCTCATCCCCTCAAACGTCTGGCAACAGTTTTTCGGGAGATCTGCTTTCCTGTGGCAGCAAGAAACTGATTTACCACCTGCTGAGCTGTGGTGCGCCTGTTCCTTTTCGCTTATAGGACAATGTATCTATCTTCTGCAGACGTCGTACTTCTAACACGACCTCCCCCGTGCCGCCTACTACACATTCCAGTAGTTTTAAAGGATTTCCACAGCCGCTAAACAATGCTGTGAGCGATGTCGAACTCCCTGGCAACATCTGCTATTTTTCGCCCTTCTTCGATCTTTCCAATAATTCTGCTACGCTTAAAATCATCTAAGTGATATCGGGAAGACATGCCGAAAATTTCAAGTACGTCAACTAAATCTTTCCTGTAAAACTTTGACTTGAAACAATAACTCTCCACACGCGTCAAAACCTTTAAAGCCCTTATCAGCGCTATCACGTGATGAGCAGACGTGGAAAAAAAATTTGCATACGCATACCTCTTCTTACTATATCCCGCACTTATTCTTATTTTCCACATTTTGCTTCCTTTCATGTTGTGGTTGCTATGGATGATAGTGTTATCCGTCCTTAGCAATTGTCCAGCAGTGTATAAACTTGAAAAAATGCACGTAAAAATGACTTCATTACAAATCGAGTCCTAATATAGAAATGCGCATAGTCTTACAAACCTTAATCTTTGAAATTGAATTTAGTGAAAAGTTAGAAAAGTCCCGAGTTGTTTTTGGACAAACTAACCTTCGTGAAGGACTTCTCAGTGTTACTAACTCGCATCTCGGTTGCAAGAAGAGGGGAGTAAACAAACTCTTATGGTTGAACTGATGGCAAGGTTATTTAAATGTCTGATCCTTTTACCACTGACAATATTTTACGTCAACACTGTGGTCGCTGTGCGCAGGGAGTCGAACTTGCATCAACCAACCATTGCTAGGATTCAAACTTAAGTCATCTAATTAGCAGATAAGGGCTGTATACCCCTAACCACCATGACTTGATTCCCTCATAATTTATTTTATAACCGTCGTTGATCAGCAGACCCATTTTTGGGCTTACGACTACTTATGTTCAACTTCTTAGAATTGTAATTTTCAACCCAATCCAGAAGATAAGGGAACTCATGGATTAAGTATTAAGAGAAATTTTGTTTTAGAGACGTTTTGATGGAACTAACCCATATCAGCGTTACAAGGAGAGGAAAACCTCACTTCCAGCTGTTAGCCTAACGGCAAAGGGACTTTAACCCATGATCCGTCTACCACTGACGATATCTTACATCAGCACTGTGGTCGATGTGAGCCGGGTGTGAAATTCGTATCTACCAGTCATTGCTGGGATTCGAACCCGGTTCACCTCATTGGGAGACGAATGCTCTATCCCCTAGCCATCACGACTCCGATTCCCATTGTTGAGCTCAACAAAAGAAAGAAGATATAAGCACAATCAAAAACTGGTAAATTTCTCTAGTGATTCAATGAAACGTTTGACACCTTTCGCTAAAGAACCTATCATCTATAAGTTCCATTCTCAAATAAACTAGTTTTAAATTATTTTAATTCTTCCCTTTCCCTTACTGACCGACATAACATATAATCGACTTATTTATAATAAAATGATGACTGATAAAAATTTAAAAATTACCACTTGATTGGCATCTTTGAAGAACATTCCAAGCATAAAAATACCTGTAATAGGACCTCCAATCATGCCACCCATGATAGTATTAGCCTCTAAAATACCTCTGAAATTTGCCACCATAAGGGAAAGTAGTAAACAAAGTACTCCGTATACCAAAGCTGCAGGAAAATTATATTTTTAGAAGTATATTTTTAGAAGAAAAGAGTATAAGTTACTACTAAAGCTCGAAAGCTGTTAATGTGTACATTACCAAGCGCACCAGTGACATAGTCGATTAAGGTGTCGCTCTCACCGAAGTGCTAGTGAGTTCAGTTTAATCCTGACAGCAGACAAAGCAGCCGGCTTCTATACACAGTGAAGTGAACGTTTAATTTGTCATGGCTGAAAATCCTCTGGTTGATTGTGATGTGGAAGCATGAAAAGAACGTTACCATCTCAAGTGCTGTTCCTGTTGCCTGACACAAGGGTTAAAATTAAGTGGCTTTCCTGCTATGGTCGTTTAAAGAGAGAGTCCTATGTGTTTGGCCATGATTAAGTGACGTGTTCGCACATTACCTTGTTATTCTGCAGATTAACACAAGTTAAACGATAAGATTAGCAATTTTGTGTCCTTTGTGCATATTTACCGTTTCCGTAAAGAAAAGTTCGAAAGACGAAGTTCAGAAAAGTGCTTCTCACATTCAAAAAAATTGTCAATTGATTTGTCTTTGATTTGACTCTTAAGGTACCAAAAAAAAACAATGCCATTAAGTTAATTTCTTTAATTGTAATAATATTTTAAACCGTTGGATTCTTGGTATTATAATTTTTGGATTAATTGATGGTGATCATATTAACAAATTTGTTAATTGTTTCGTCGCAGCAAGAGATTGCAGTAATAATAAATAAATTGATTGTAATAATAAAGATATTAGCAATGAAAAATAAATGAATAAAATAAAGCATTTTTTTTAAATTCTGCAATAATTTTTATAAGAATATGACAATTAATTAAAAAAAACAGAGAAAATAGTGATCTCATTATTTATGATCATTTGTTACAAATTGGTCATTTATTTTCTCCTGGATAGACATTCATATGACTCATAACACTTCATCACATGGGCTGCAAAAACTACAACAATTGATGCTTTTCTTCTTGTCAAATAGGCTGGAGTGGTATTCGATTTCCGCCAATATACGTATCTTTTGACGTCACAGAATTCTTTTCTTTTTTCAGTATTCATATTTATATTAAATCGCCAGAAATGCAGCAATTGGGTATAATATAGCTTACGTCACAGGTTGTGTTGTTCCTACTAAATTTAACCCATGAACGGCATTTTCTGCGAGCCTAACTTCAAGCCACAAATAAACAAACGAAATGTTCGATTGTTTAAATAGCTGCTCGCCAGATTTTATTGCATTATAAAGAAAAGTTATTGAAACTAAATACAACTAAATAAACAACAACAACTAAAACAAATAACAACAACTACTAATAACAATAACTAAATAAACAACAACTAAATTCCATTCGTTTAGCATTGCGTCATATGTTGTTCCTACTAAATCGAAGTGGTTGTGTTTTTTTCATATTATACCCAATTATAATTAAATTGATCATAAAAAGCTCGTATTTTGCTGATTTTTTACTGATGCTTGTGTTAGCCAGATTCATAACGTCTCTTACAACTCTTTATTTGTGATCACGGTGTTGAAGTTGATCTGGTTGATGCGGATATGAAAAATCTAGAACAACATCCATTTTCCCAATGGGCCCCAACATTATGTTATTCTAAGCTTACAAATGCGTTGTTGGTTCTCCAACAAAAATCTTTTTTATCACTTTAACGAGTGCTTATAGCATGTAATGTACAGATTTTCTAAGTAGTTTGCAGATTTCCTTGGTCATTTAAAAAATGAACAATCTATGGCTTTTTAAAGGATCACACTAAATAATCTACATATTACTTAGATAAGCTGTAGTCTAACTGATTGCTATTACGATTAAGTATACAATTTTTATTGTGATTTTCTACAATATATTTCAAAATACCATTTACCATTTTGATTATATATACCATTTTGAAGTGTGAAAAAAACAGCCTACATAACAAACTAAAGCTTTCCTAATACTGACAAAAAAAACCAGTCTGAGTAAGGTTTTAAAAGATTCTCCATTCTGATTAATATCGAAGAATTTTCAGCGGGAGACATACTCAAAAAGGCGCTGAAAATTCCTCCTACTTATAACCCAGAAAGGGATGAAATATTGTTGAAACGCTTCACAATTTGATAACCCATGAAATCAAGGTTAATTTTTTAGATCGTTTTAATAGTTTATTATAAAAAGTATCAGAGTTGAAAATTTTAATTAAATTTTTTTTAATTTATTTGAAAATTTTAGCACATACTTAAAAGTTTGGCTGTGAACGCCATCCTTGAAGCAATGAAGCATTTACAGTCAGAGTAAGGTTTTAAGAAATCCTCTACAGTGATCGAAGTCATCGAATTTATTGCTGATGAAATTGTACTCAAAAATGCACTGAAAATGCCTGCTACACATAATCCAGCGAGGCCTGGTATATTACTAAAAAGCTTCATAATTGTTAGAGGTATCAACTAAAAAAGTAAAATAGTCAATTAGAAAAAAAAGATAGTTGTTGAGAATTAAAAGCAAGATTTTGATTAAGTTTAAGGAACTTTTATTTTCGTTTAAAATTGTTTTCTATTTAATTTCCTCATAAAAGTTTTTGAAAAATCACATAAAGTCAGTTTTTATTAAGTAAAAATAATTTTTATTTTCGTTTAGAACACTTTTTAAAATTGTTTAAAATTTAATTTATCATGAAAGTACTTAAATCTTTCTATCATAATTTGCACAAAGAAATCGTTTTATAATTTATTTATTTTTTTACTTTTGAAAAAATTGATTAATTATTATTTTAAAATTTGATTTTTTTTATTTGTTGTCATAATGCTTTATAAAAATATAGGTTTTATTTTTCTAATTACTTCTCACTTATTTAAGGAAGTTAATAGATCTGTTAGGGTTAACGAAATTAATCGGTTTTAATTTAATTGCAATTATTAATAATAACTAAATATACCAGGTAGAAATGAAACTATGTGGCCCTGACAATTGAAATACTAGCATCATTTGAAAACATTAGGTGCTCCTCGATTTATTGCTCCAAATAGATACTGAAATAGTATGCAGGCTGTATTAAAGATCATGATGCCTGTTTTTCTCTCCATTCTTTCTATTAGCTTAATATTATCAATTTCAAAAACTCGTGGTTCCCGTGAATCAACCAGTAGCATTGGGAATGTCACCTTTTACCTGTTTACCTGTACTAAGTGTTATTAATTCGATCTTATCAAATTGAAAATAAATGCCTTATTTTCCAATTGTTTTGAAAATTATTATGTTTTCGAAAGACTTTATAACGCGTGAACTAAGACCAAAACTCAACTAAGAACAAAAAACATGAAGGAAAAAAACCGAAAACCTAACATATTACGTAAAACCTAATTAAAAACCCAATGTAACTTTAGGTGTACGTTATTAAGTTACCTATCAAAAATTCTTAAAATGCTGCGTGCGATATTTATCCAATTATAATTAGATGATGAACTTGATAATCACATATTTTGTTGTTGCTGTTTTTGCTCATCCTTATGTTTAATTCTTATGTTCTACTGACTTTGAATTTTGTTTCCATTTCCAAATTTGAAATAAACATTTGACATAACTTTAATAAATCTGACTGTATAAATTGTTAATTCATTTATACTGCAACAGACGGTCCTAATTAGACTTCGAAAATCACATGCACCATTTTCTACTAAATTATTTCACCATAAATTTTCAAATATTTATGTGTTTTAAATTTTATAATTATTTTTCTTACTTGATCTGGAGACAAAGGTTGTTCTGTAGAACTTAAAGTAGGATCACAATCCTCAAACATAGCAAAAATAACAATTCCAGACCAAATGCACATAAACAGAAATATATTGCTAAAAATTGTGCCATATAAAACAGACCTAAAATAATATCACTGTTTATATTTGTGTATATTCATAATATTAAAACATCAAGAAGCATAATATAGTTTAAATGAATTGGGCTTATGACAATTGGATTTAATACCATTTCGCTTGGCAACTACACGAATTTGCGTGTGCGCTTTGTGTGCTTGATATTTATTATTCATAGGAATAATCTATTAACAACTTAACTGTTTATTAATTTTAACACATCGATTGTTTTTCTGTTTCTCCAGACAATGCACAAAGTAATAAACTTTTAAGTGAATAATTTTTTTCAAGCAAAGAGACATATTTCCCTCCATAATTTCCAGCTTATAATCTTAAAATATCCGTAATAAAAGCTATCCCCTTCAAATGTGATCACTTCTTTACAGATTACTTACAGACAGTTACAGACTACTTATCTTCAATTTCAGAACCAATATGTTCTGATTGTACATATGTACTGACCAAATGTACTGAATCAAACCGAGAGATGATTTTGGTTGGTACTACAGTATACGTCACGGTGACGCCAAGATCAATGGCTTCCTTAAACTGTTAATAACAATGAGAACGATAATGTGTCACAAGCAATGGTTTTTGTATTTGTTTTCACTTTATCACATTCTGTCTTCATAATCAGTTATGCTTTGTTAATTGTTTATTATTAATTGCCAGATTAATAATTGTTAATTGCCAGATTATAAGAATTATTCACAGACGTATCTTTATAACATTTTTCAGTAGACAGATCAAAATAGTAGGCAAGCGCGTTGAAGCTTTTTCAGGTCCTTCAGCTGTGGCGGCCAGTACTACTTGTTTACTAATGACATTTTAAGCAGAAAAAAAAACAACAAAAAAAACAACATAATTGTGGTAATAAAACCAAAACAGTGCGATTTTTAACCCATTCATTTGGTATTATAAATAAATCCGTTGCATGTTTGAGTTAAATAAATTCGTTACCTACAGTTAAATAGATTCCTTAAATGTTTAAGAGAATCGATCAGCTTCATGCAGAATGTGATGCATGCACAAACAGTAGTCAATATGCTAGTCTGTTTGGTTAAGAAAAAGTAAATCACAGTTGTGGACTCACTAAATTTGTAATAACAATATACTTTTAATTTCAAGTGCTATTTAGAGAAATTATTGCTAAGCTAAATTATTTCTGCTTACTAATCAGGTAAATGCTTGAATTTGGGAATTCGGGCCCAAGCATAAGCAAACGGATTTGTTTTAGCAATTGTTTAGCACAATTCTCTTTAACGGAATTACTTGTCAAGTGAAATATTTTAACTTTTGTAGATAAAAATGTTTTATGCCAAGAAAAACAATTATTGAGAAGCAATCATCGGAGTTGGTAAGCGGCATTGAATATTGGTCTTAGCCCCCTAGTAAATATAAAAAGACTCATTTCCTTTAGCATAAAAGATATTGTCTCCTCCACAATGCTATGACCATATCAGTGTCTTTAATATGTGTATCAGTCTGTAAAACTCAAACCTAATTGAAGTGGTTATAGCGGAATAATTCATTACTACACATTGTTTATTCTACATTTGTTATGAAATACTTTTTTAATTAAAATGTATACTTACCATTGCCCTTTTCGTAAACCACCGATGCTCAGTATCCGTTGCAGCTCTATTTGACTTGAACCATAAGCTGACACATTTAAAAACATTCCGTAAATCATGCAATTCCAAAATGTGTATCTTTCTGTCAAGCTTGGACTAAAACTGTGAAGCAATATTGAAAACGAAGTATTGATTAGTATTGAACAACAATAAGTATACTTTTACCATTAAAAACAAAAGCGTTAATCATAAATTTAGCGTTTTAAAATAGTGAAACTGTTTTGTGGAATGCTGTATTTTCTATCGAAATGTTCTTGGTTAGTGCAGAGTTATCATTGTGGCAGTATTTTTCAGTTTTGTGAGCCACTGTGTTCTGTTCAAGTAATGGTGTTTGCTTGATTTGAACTTAAAACAAATACCCATGCTGTGAAAAAGAGCTTCTTAAAAATTTAGTAAAAATGCGTCAAAATAAATCCAAAATAGAAGAAAAGTAGAGCTAAAATTCCAATGTAATCAAAATGAAAACATCATATACTCATTTTTGGGCAAAATACTTAGTATCAAAAGTAATGTGAAAGGAGAAATGTGTGAGAGAGATATTCGTTGACCGTTGAGAGGATTCGGACCAAAAACCAAGGGGATCGTAGTAGGATCAGCATGCACCGAACACCATGGTTGTACCCCCAGTCCAGGAAGAGTTATAAAGCCTTATAAAGTGGTAACCACAATGATATATCATGACATACATTCCATTCACTAAAAAAAAAAAAATCAAGATATAGCAGAAAAATTTCAAATTAAAATTACAAATCTCCTGACTAAGCTATAAAAGTCATATTTTCCAAATTGCAACTCTTTATATGATTAATATTGGAAATTGCATGTGACGACGATATAAAACTTCCTAAATCTTCTTCGACTGGGTTGAACAAGTATGACGTACATCCTTCAACAAATCCGGAGGTCCCCAGTTTGAATCCTGCCGGCGGCCAATGAACATCTCTCTTACGCATTCCTTCCTCCTCATCACTTTTGAAACTGTTCATTCTGCTCAACAGGCAATTCAATTTTGAATAGCCTATTCAATTGTTAAAATTTAGAATACATGGGATTTTCAAATTTGACATTATTTTTTCTGAGCTGTTTTGACTAATTTTTGCCCAACTTTTGAGAAACTTTTTACATAGCAAAACTTTTACTTTTACATTGCATTTTTCTAGCTCCTAGATTGATTGAGATTGATTGATTACGATTGATTGATTAATCTACTTGTTTAGAAAATCTCTAAGTTGAGCCATCAAACTTTGTCTACTCTTATACTTTCTAGTTTCTAATGCAAAACTTGTAAAATAAAAGTTCTAGACAATCAAATTAAAGTATATAGACAATGAAAAATCAAATAAAAGCCTTCTTCTGGATAAATTTTTATAAATAGTGAAGTTTGAGGCAAAAGTAAAAAACGTTCCGTGGTAAGGAGAAGCAATACTAAATTCACCAAAGATTATTAGAAAGTTTCAAAAGTTCTGAACGTATTTGGATCTAAATGTATTAATTTGGACGTGTGTGGTGCAATTTTAAACCTTTGTAACGTAGCTACATCAACAGTTATTAAATCCCATTTCACTAGTATATAAGACTTGTTAAATCAATTCTATCTGAGGGGGGGGGGGTACCTCTCGATAGATGAAGGTTGACATTGTGGGTAGCCAGTCCCGCATGGCTGACTCGCTGGCGTGATCTGAACGCGATTGTCTCAACCAACACTCTTAACCTTTTTAGTGTCAAAACAGATATTCAATTATCTATCGATTTTATATTATTAACAAATCAGGTTTGTGTGAAAATTTTAAAAAAACTTTGAGTATATTGGATAAACAAGTGAGCCATAAAACGTGAAAAAATGTTTTTTTTTTTTTTAGAGAAATGCACCTGAACTTCTTTCAGATTACTTACAAAAAATTAAGTACTACCACAGCAGCTGATTGCAGAAACGAACGATAATACTTATGAGATCAAGATTGTACATATAAAATAAACATTCAAATTAATCGAGAAATATCTTCAAAAATCCTGCAAATATTTTTAAAAATGTAATATCTTAAAAATATTTGAAGATTATGTTCTAAAGAAAATGTGACAAGAATGTTATGGCAATTTTGATTGAGCTGTCAATAAAAACCATAAAATTTATATTTAAAATGGTCGTTTCACAGCGCAATGGCATAAACTGCGAAAACGATGCTGGATAACCAAACTAAAAATTGCGCAATTGCACGATCGAATTAACTAATGAGACCCATGTTATTTAATGTGGAAGTTAAAAGAATTAAGAGGCTGAATTTAACTAAATCGAAAAAGATTATCATGTATTTGTTAGTTCCTTTAACTCACTATTGATTTTAATTGAACTGTAATAAAATGTTTAGCTTGCCTTTTTTGTGATTGACACTAATTATGTTTCATTGAGTATTATGAAACTTTTTTATAAATATTCCAAAAAATACTAAAAGGCAATAACTAAGGAATACCTTATGTATGTTTAAGAAGTGCAAGCCATTTATGCAATTTAGAAATTTAAAAAGAGAATATAGAAAGTCCTACTTGAAGAAAATAAGTCGGCCACCATCATTTGATTTTGTCAATATTTCTATAAATCCTAAGGTTTGGATTCCTCCAATGATAACAGCAGCCAAAGTAGTATACATGAGTATAGCCTGAAAAATGTCAGTCCACAGAACAGCTTTTAATCCACCCTGAAATGATTAAAAGGTTAATAAAATGCTAAGAAATATACTCTAATCTTAAAAATATAAATAAATCCTAGTATATATGCTACGGTTAAAGTAATATATCCGGTTATTATTAATACTAACCGGTCAATAATAATAATAACCCCTTCTTTTGGTCAAAGTGAGAAATAAAAAAGGGAGATTTCCGTATCGAAATCTGTGACAGAATAATCGTCAAGTCTTAGCAACTTCCGGGCAGCGGTCTGCAAAAAAACTGTTGCCATGAATAGGTGAACCTGGTCTGCAACCATGTTCAAGAAGCTTACAGAGGTCAGGGATTGTTCCATGAGTATTATGGGTCCTAATGTGCCCTATGAAAACATTGTTCCCTTGCGAGAAACCATGAGAACCTGGGCGAGTCCATTGTTATAGATGGAGGGTGGTCATAATGTAATGGTTCTTCGGTGTATTTTACCAATGGGAAAAAAAATCACAGAAAGGGACCAACTCGAAGGGTATAACTCGTCGTTGTTCCCCAAGGGCAAACATCTACATGTTTTTTTTAAATGTTTCCAGTCAGAAATCAGTTTTGCGCCTTGGTAATTGTAGTTGGCGTTGCCGATCACGATACGGAAATATCCCCAATGAAAATGTGAAAGAATGATGATGACCAAACTTCATTGCTTATTATTACTAATAATCGGTTAATGGGACAAATTCGCTTAAATTATAATCTTTAAACCAGCTTATTTGACTATTATTAGCATTGACAAGATAGTATAAATAATGACCAACTATTCACATTGACCGTAACATATACAATAAATTATTCATAAACATTAACAAGTACAAGAATAAGAATTTGTGAATAACCTATAAACAAAACATACAAATAATGATGTTTGACTAAATGTAAACAATTACAAGCTTCCTAAAACCGGAAGAAATTTAGAAACTTAAGGTGTAACCCTCCGCTTATGTTATATTAACGAGCGATGTGTGATCAGGTTTAATATTCTAGGAAGTTTTATTATTATGAGTGGTTTTTAAATTTACGCGTGATTTTAATATTCATAAAAATCTTTTGCAATTTATAAATTTTAACAGGTCGTGAGCTTTAAGCAAAATTAATAAAACTAATATCACAGCATAAATAAAGTGAAAGGTTAGTCATGTTTTGAGTGTTATCCCTTATTTGGTTATATTTGTGTAAAATTGCAACGTTTGTTATTTTTTCGGTAACATCGTTACAAGCTTGCGGAGTCTTCCAGACTTATTTGTTGTTTGTTTCGCTGAAAGCTAGATTGAAAGAACGTGTTATATTGAAAACTCTACAAGTATAATATATTGGGTGGTGCGTTTTTTTAAGCTTAAGTGTAAAAATCAGTTGGAAACAGTAACCCGGAGGTCTTACGGCGAATTTTAACCCCTAGCGTCATCTGCCTTTATCTTTACACAGTCAACCATTCATAAGAACTGTAAACAATATCCCTATCACACATTACTAGGCAATGCATATTTCCTAAACTTATAATACCTTTTAACTTTCATTTAATCCTCTAATTATTATCTTGATTAAAATATCCACTGAATATTTTCCTCGGAGATATGACGTAATTTGCTGTTCTTAAAATAAATTTGAACTTTTCATTGGAAGCCCAGTTAGCCCTGATATAATGATGTCTTAAGAACTATCCGTTGAGTTTTATTCTTCACCAATACTTAAATTACTCAACATTCGCATTATTAGCAGCTGGCTAGACTTTTAATAAATGTACAGATAGTGAATTCCTCTCCATTATCCGTGACATTTGTTTCATAAACAAACTAAATAAATTTAAACCTAATAAGTAAGGTGAAACTTACAGCTCTCTTGATTTATTTCTAGCAGCAATTTTTTTTAAATAAATAATTTTGCGAACAGAATTATTGTATTAAATAATATCTTTTTACAAATCATCTATGTTTAGAAATATAAAAAAACTATAGGTATTATTTACCAGATGATGGTTCCATGAAGCCTGTTTAGAATATAATTTTTTACATAAAAATAATTCAAGTTAGCGCTTCATTATTTTTTTATTTCCAAAAACTGCAAGATGTACAAGCCAAGATCCTGGAGTTTCCTTGTCTTCTGGTTTGTTTCAAAATTACAGGGCTACGGAGTTGAACATTAGTAGTCGTAAGCCCTAAATTGGGTCAGCTACTCGACGACTGTTACAAAATGCAAATTTAAAATATCATAATTTGTGCTAACTAATATATTCTTAAAAAAATAGTATTTGCAAACGCCTAGGCATAGCTGTTAAATTTTAATTAAACTTTTTGTCGGCTAACTTGGTAAACTACGATAAAACAGTTATATCTCTGTTTACTTGAATGCAATTTTCGACAGTAATTATTGAAAAGCGTGAAATTAGTATACAGTTAAAATTATGTAAATAATATTACCAGTTTAAAGATGTATGAACCTCTAATTTATTCAAGGGAAGTGACTCTAATATAGTAAGATGATATTTATAGTCCCATATAGCGGTGCAATTCTCAATCTTTATAATCTCCTTTTCCCCCCACTGTAAACAATTTCGGATCAAATTACAGTATAAAGTACTAGAATTTTGTTTGCATCATCTGTATATTATACCATAATTTTCACAGTTACATTTATCTAATATGAATGAATCTGTGATTTTACGATAATAACTACTGCAAAAATTACAGCATATCAGATATTTTGTTCTGTAACATGTTCTTCTAAAACTAGATTTTACGATAAAAAGTAGTGGCACACTAAGTGCCGGTACTTTTTATTATTGTTGTAATTTTTGTATTATTGAGTGTAATTTTTACAAGAAGTTCAAAACAGAAAATTGAAAAGTAATTTGAAAAGTATGTTTAAAAATTAGTGTGGTGACTCACCAACGAACAATAAAACGTGCATATGACAGACATGCAAACTGCAGCTGCCCATGTAGAAATTCCTGTGACCGCATTCAAAGCAAGGGATGGAGAATATAAAACAACAGCCGTGTAGAATATCTAGACGTTGAGAAGAATAACCTATAAATATTTAATTACAATTATCTAATTTTCATATGAAGAATAAACTAACAATATGGCTCGAGCTGAATTTTAAAAATGCTTCTATAAGCGTTTTAATCTTGAAAAATGATAAATATTTAAAGCCTTGCTACTCATAACGTATTTTGCAACTCAATCTAATGCAGGTGATTCAAAAAATTAAAAATGTATTCTATAATTTGTCTTTATGTAAGTACCAAATAAAAATTATCAATTATTTACGATGCATATATCAGAGTTCGAATAGGTATTATGTAGCAGTATTTAACTCTTTCATATGAAATTTAAATCTCTACAATTGGATACGTGCGAGTAATGTTATCGTAGGTAAATCTAGGGCCCCTCAATTAGAGAAGCCGATTGTCTGCTATTTTGGAGCAAAGGTTTTCCCCAATGCGGAAGAGTTATAAGATTTGGAAATTTATCGCTAGAAACAACGCTAACCTCAACTAGAATAATTCGTATAAGCTGAGATAGCATAGTTCGTAGGGCGTTGGACCCGTGTCCACGAGATCGTGAGTTTGATCACCTTCTTGGCCGAAAACTCCCCATGTAGTAAAAGTTGACTGGTGACGTTAAATCTGTCGGGTCACAAAGTTCGCCATGTTCTCATAACAAATCATACCTCTGGGGGTACGGAATTGATCGTCTTCAGGTCAAAATTACGATCTGTGGATGAATGAATGGATCTATAAACGGGTTGTGACTTGTGCGTCTGAAATCGTATCGTCTTTATGGCTATAGATGGCGCCACTGAAACCAGGAAAGGCACCCTCTGTCCTAAATACGCTTTTTTTCACCAAGCAGGCGTGCTGGCAGTGGCAAGTTGCATTCGAAACAACAACAGCCGGATTATCCGTTAAGAAAAGGGTATATGCGTACATCAATTTACATTGTTTTTCGGAAACTTTTTTTAATACTTAAGAAAATGAAATATTATTGTGTTTTTTTTAGAATAAAAATATTATTCATTAATAGATCGAAACAGTTTATACTCATTTTTGGTTCTTTAATACTATTCTAAATATTTATGTGAATACACTTTATTTTTTTCAGTATGGCAAGAAATAATTAAATATAACTTACCGTTTTTAAAACTTGCAGGACAGCAACTATGGATCTAGTTGTTTGACCGAATCGTATTCCTAAATACTAAGAAATATATATAAATATCATAATTTG